ATATCTGCTGTTAGGTTTGGGGCTGTTGTATACCAATCATTGGCATGTTTCATATTCATAGCTATCCCAAATGAATAAGAACACACTTGTATGCTCAAATAAAATGTTTCTTGTACAGCCTACACATTTGCCCCAGAGGGTCTGATCCAATGGGTAAAATGTTAGTTGCTCCTTATATCAGACTACAATGCAACAAAGCAAGGTGTAGCCCAAGACCAAAAACTTCCCTCTTTTAAGGCAAATCACCAAAATTATAATCTCCATAGAGAGTCAGTACATTTGGTGTAAGGGCTGAAGGCTGAAGGTATTGCACTACTAAAATATAGCTGCTGTATCGCATCCACTAGCATATTTAGGGTAGGGCTCTGAGTACAGTAAGCTGCAGGGTGCTTAAGGACCAAGGCAAGTGACAGCCACCCATCGCATTACCACTCTGGAAGGGGGGTCTGCGTAGTTGCGGGTCATGTTGTCCACAGCTCCACGGGAACACCTGAATAGCTGTTATGTGCCTTTCCCTTGCAGACTGAAGATGTAGAGCAGAGGGAAGCTCTCCCAGACTCCATCTTGGCTTTCTGAATGGGAGAGGAAGGAAGGAGATCTTTACTGAGAGTGGGGGTTTACTGGGTGGGGAGGGGGATTCTTGCTGGAGGAAGAACATTTTTACCAGGAAATGAGGGATTTTTTTTCTGGATGAAAAAAAGGGACTATTGCTAGGAAAAGTGGGGAAATGTTTCTGGGAAAATGGAACTTTTACAAGAGGGAAAGTGGGAGGGCAGGAAAATGTTGTTCATGGGGGGGAATGTTTTGCTTGGGGGATGGCCTAATTGGTGTTGTTTGAGTTGCCTATAGATTGTCACAATTACCCATTTGTTGCCAGCATATTGTAAAGCTTGCCCATTTTCCCCTATGTATGATAACAGCTGCCCATTTGATGCCCAAGATATTTTAACAATTCACTGTATTGTTTGCGATTGTTCATTTGTAGCCCATATAGTGTCAGGATTGCCATGCATTTGTCTATGAATTGTCAGGTCACCTCTGTTTAGAGGAATTACTAACATTTAAGCCTCTGCAGGCTTGACACTATCAAACAACTCTGCTATTATCCCCACGAATGTTAGTGAAAATAAATCTGATGAATTAGGAGGGAATTTTAAAAAATAGTGCACCACAGATGTCAAACACATGAACTACACAATTAATGCAGCTAATTGTGTAGTAGAACAAGGTAGTTGACTATGTTTGCCAAACTCATGAACCTGAATCCCCCAACTCTGCAAGTGATGTATCTTGTTGTGAATGTTTTTTAGAGCCTGGTTCATCTCAATACAAACATTTCATCACTTCAAAAATGTGAATTATATTTACGATCAATTGCAATATTGAGTTAGTCACTTTCAGAAGCCTTTGCAATAGGGAGCAGCAAGCTCGGCCATACATATTTTAATGTTTGAATTACTATGGCTGAACGCACAGGTTAGCAAAATTTGCTATTACAATAGAGATGTGTGCTCTTGAGACAGATCATTAACTCAAACATTTATATAAGCTTTCCCCAGTACAGCCTTAAATGTCAAAAGTCTTGCCAAACATGACGTTAGCCTTTCTGGAAATGAGACGAGTAATCCTCTATCAAACAAAAAATACTTGAGAGATTATGCTGGATGGTAGTCGTAACTGGTGAGCTGAAATATGAACTAATAATCAGCCTGAGGAATTTTCTCCATTCCACATAGAGTCCATGTAAGGACCCAATATCAAAGTACATTTTTAGACTGAGGGTACTGCTTCTTTACAAAATGTAAGAAAAGGTCTGGTTTCACAATAATTTGTCAGGCCCTGAGGAACTATTTTAGAAATGATTTAGGTTTATTTTAGAAAAATATAAACATTTTTGAAAAGGTATAATTCTCTACTATTTAAATCTTGATAGATCAGGTGTACTGCTTATTTACAACATGTCCATTTACAGGATCATTTCTGATTTTGCAATGAAAACCCTGACACATTCTTGAGTGAAACCTCTGGACAATTTTGTGTTCTTCTTATATATTTTATATTCCATTCACACACAACAGCAGTTCGACTCCACTTATGTAACTTGATTTCTAAAACTGGACCATAGCTCGGTTCACACTATTGCGAGCTGTGCAGCCCATGTCTGCTCAGGCAAAGCAGTCCATTCATTTGAATGGGCTGCTGTGCTGCGTTACCCACAGGAAAAAGGTGCATGCACCTTTTTAATAATATGGATGCAGTGAAACCGCATGGTCAAAAAGACCCTGTGGTTCCCGCACCCCCAAACATGCTGTGGGCTCAGATGTATGGGGGTGACATTCAGAATAATTGGTAGCCCACCTGTCTCAAAGCCCACAATTGTGAATCAATTATGGTGGCCATATATATGGCAATTTCAGACAATAAGGAATACTCTCAACCAACTTGCCATCGCAAAAGTGACCCAAAGGTTGAAGGGAATCTATCACCAGGGTCAGATTTCCCAAAAGGCACTGTAGGCATGTGCCTACAGGCGCCCTTCCTAGAGGGACACCCGCCCCCCCTCCCCGTCCTTCCCTGGTCACGCACCTCCAGGATCCACATGGCCATGATCTTTCACATGTAGGGGAGGACTTCCCCCTGCACACACTTGAAGTAGTTGGTGGACGGGAAGGCAGCTTTCTGCATGGCCTGGAGGACTTAATTGGTGAGGAGGTTCTGGTCCAGGTGAGTCCTCTGGATGGTGTCCATCTTACCGCATAGCTGCTCCATGATGTGATCACCACAGAGAAGTCCAGCGTGTCCACAGGCCAGGAGGAGGAGAGGAGGATGATCTTAGCAGAGATGAAAGAAGAATGAGAGAGAAAAACGAGTTGGGAAGAGGCTTAAACAGAGCAGGAGATCACCCTCCACCATCCTCAGTCGGCCTGGGGGAGGAAAAAGAGAGACTGAATACAGGGAGACCATGATTGGGACTGAGGGACAATGTGAGAGGACACCAGGGCAGGGTGGACATTTAGGAGGGAGCCAATATGGGGGGACACATTGTGGGGGGACACAATGTGAGGGGACAGCAGGGGGACACAATGTGAGGGGACAATATGGGGGGGACAGGGGGACACAATGTGGGGAGACATTTAGGAGGGGGACAATATGGAAGGACACAATGTCGAGGGACATTGGGTGGAAACTCTGGGAACTCTTGTGTAAGGGGGTTCTGGTGACCAGAGATCCCCTTAAATCAGAGTTCTCCTTTACATTAAAGTCCACAGCATTCCCATTTACACTTATAAAAATGTTTTAACAAGAAAAAAAAAACATTGGTCTTACTGGGGGGGAGGGGGCTTCAGAATTCTCTGCCTATATGCTCCTGAGATGTAAAACGGACACCCTGTCTATCACTGATTCTGATAATTTAACAGCTTCAGTAGAAGATGCTCAAGGTAGATTATAATATTTAAATTCCATGCTCAGTGCAATAAATCAACAAACACCAAAAAAATGATATTTTAAAATTAGGGGAGCTGCCCACATGAATATCTTAATATAAGGTACAAAAGCTTTCTTAAAAAAGCTCAAGGTAGATTGTCCTATTATTATTTTTGAGTCACATGAATCTAATATTGACAATTTGGCTGAGAGCAGATAGCAGTGATATATTTGACGCTTTCCATTTTTTATGGACATAGCAAAAACCTTTGACTGTTCACAAGGTGTTCTTGGTCACCCTGTTGCAGTTCCCTTTTTTTCAAGATGGAGAATGAAATAAAAAAGATAAATTCCTTTTGAAAATAGCATAGAACTCCACTGAGAACAATCTCATTTTGGCACACTTGACAAATATAAAAGGCTGGTGGGCAATTCATTCAACCAGCATCTATCTGTAAATAAAATATCACCTTTGGGCAGACTAATCCTTTAAGTAAAGTTCTCTACAGAATTATATTGCTATAGCCAATGAATATACTTTAAACCAAACTAAAGGGTTAATATCTGATGTTCAGGATGCTAAAAAGACTATTTTATATAATTTAGTGATAGATAGAAATAAATGAATTATGTTCTTCATCTGGATATTTGATTAAATGACTATAATTTGACTTTAATGAAACAACTCATTAAATTAGTTTGAATCAGCTAAGTTTTACGAAGTTATTAAAATGTGTTGGGAAGCTTGTAATTACATGAGCAAACTACAAGAAGAGAATTTGCATTTGAAATTCAACTACACTCAGTATTACTACTCAGTATAAATACTAATCAGTTTTCTGAGCTAAAAGTAAGTAATCCAAAAGTGTTATACTCACACAGAATCCATCCCCCTGAGTTTAATTGTGTGCATCAAAAAATCATTAGAATGCTTAACTGAAAAAACATAAAATAGTACCTCCAACTATCAGTGGAAAAAATCATTTACCCCCTTTGAGCCTGGGTTCACACTGATGCAGTGCAAAATTTGCACTGGTTTCTGTTATGATTTCCGCACCGCATCATAATCGCACCCCGTTTACATGAACCATTGCGGTGTGTATTTTAAGTTAACGACACCCCGAAATCAGTTCGCAAAACGCAGTGCGATGTGCAGAATCAGATCCCATGCGATCCGATTCTAGTGCAGACCAAAAAAAGGGAATGTGCGAATGTGGTGTGATTTGAGCCATACAAAATGTATGGCTCAAATCACATCGCACAGAATTCACATGTGATTTGCACAGGAATGCGGTGCGGTTCCTGTGCGAATCACATGCAGTATGTTGCACCGCACAAGTGTGAACCCAGGCTGAAGGAATTGGCTTTAGCTGCCTTTGTAAAAAATCAGTTTGGACATTCAATGTTTTACATTGGAGAGCATACAAGCTGGCCACACATTATCTTTTGATCTGTATTCCTTGTATCCTTGGTACCACAGAAAGATAGTCCAGTGGGAGCATCTGATGTGCTTGTGGATCAAACCACAGCTTAAAGTGCTGCCAAACCCATAACAGCAAAATCAGAATGTATATGCAGTAAAGCAAGCTTGTTATACTCACTGTGGAACCTAGGGAGGTTAATTCTCTGCATTGTGTAAAAGACCATTTGATCCTGACTTCTCTGCTCCTCCTCTTGTTCAAATGTCCATGTCTTATGTCCTGATAAGACAGACTGAACTGTAGCCATTCTGCACATGCTCAATTTAGTTTGTATTGCTAAAGAGGTTTTTTTTTTTTCTTGGCAGAGTGCATGTGATCAACACGGGGACAGTTAGCACTGTCCAGACAGAAGTCAAGGGTTTTGCATCCTTCTAGAGCAGAAAGAAAACTCCTATTACAAGCTTTAACCAGTGCTCTGCTGAACACTGATAGAAGTCACAAGACTGCTCCAACTGCTGATGAGAAAAGATATTTAGCAGTTTATGTAAACAACAGCGCACAACTATCTTTGATCGATCCTCCTGTCTTCTCACCAGAATCTCTTTAGCCAGAATATGTTGTATACCATGGGGTATCACTCTCTCCTTTGATCTTCCAATCAGCTGATCCCCATATTTTCTATGATCACTGAGATTATATGAAGAATCAGGGAGGAGATAATGGATTTCTGAGCACATTGATTATTGATTACGGAAAGGCAATTTATAAGACATGCAGGGTAAGGTGCATGCCTGAAGGAGAAGGGATCAAGCATGTTGATTTGTGTTTGGACACTATTGGTGGATGGAGCATTGTCACAAGTATATTTGGATGTCATTCACAGTAAAGAGAGTGAAATGCACGTTTTCACCCTGTGAGGGTAAGAGTATTTAGTGAAATTAGTGGTGGACACTATTTGAATAACATTTTCAATTGTGCACGGGTATACTGTATATGTACAACACTTTACATAAGAATTACTACACTATATTAGTTTTTTTCCTTTGGAGATGGGGATCAGCTGATTGGAAGATCAAAGGAGAGAGTGATACCCTATGGTATACAACACATTCTGGCTAAGGAGATTCTGGTGAGAAGATAGGAGGATTGGGCAAGGACAGTTGTGCGCAGTTGTTTACATAGAAGACTTTTTTACCCAGGGGGGTATTGGACTTTCAGCTGCACATTGTTGCATTCTGTGGCGCTTATTGTTATTCCAAATATTTAGCAGTTTATATTTACTAAAATAATTGCACTTCTGTGTTCTGTGTACTGGAGGAGACCAGATAGAGTGAATGCAGGGTCCTGGGTTTAGTAACACTTTAACATATGCAAAAGCTTCCAATGTGAAGGGAAAACTCAGAACTGGGATGGGAAAGTAAACAAGAGTAACTAACATCAATGATTCAGGGTTCTGGAATCAAGCCTCATTTAAGTCCAAGATATTTCTACCAAAACCTTGCCGTACACAAATTGGGACCATGCAGTATAATATAAGTAGCCCCTATCATGTGGTAAGCTGCCTGTACATGGACCACAAATAATCATACTGATGGACAATGTAAGAACAGAAGTAATGTCATTAATATCCACAGGTTGGGCTTGGTCCTATGATAATTTGCAAAAAAAGGAAGGTGAATATATGCTATTGGGGGAAGGAGGGAATTAAGGCAGACCTTTGCTTTGCCCTGCATGGGCAAACCAAAGGTTCACTTTAAAGGAGCGTTTTAGGCATAGTTTGATACATTTTAAATAGCTGTTTTTAATGTATGTATACATATTTAAAACATAAACATTTATTACTGTATATCACAAGTGATTGCTAGAGCATTGTGGGTTAGCTAAAGTGACAATGGAGCACTAGCTGCTTCCCATAAGGTCTGCTTTGTCTGACTGAAACCTCAGCCTGGGGATGGGTCACTGCTCTGACTCTTCTGATGTATTTTAAGCTACTGAATTCATTTACCAACAGTTTTTGATGTGAAATATTTATTAATTGTCTGGCTAAAAAAACAAAATATTTTTTACATTTTTTTTTCTATTCCTTACCATAATAAATAAAGTATGTGCAAATCCAATATACATATCCTTTAACGGTCTTCCCTGAATATTGATCTAAAAACTCAGTCAAAAGACCAAGTCTTCTTCTGAGTGCCTTGAGTCTCAGCTATCCCATTTACAGAATCTAATGAGTCCATGCTATTAATAATTACCGTACCTTCTTCTCGCAATCATCCCGAAGATGCCATATTCCTTGCGCAATACAGTTACTGTTTCAGAATAATACACCTGCCATCCTTCCACTAATGGGTTGGATGTAAAGCACTTTATTTGCTGATTGCCTGAGCTCTCAGTAAAAGGTTTACCCATTCAGAACTTGCAAAGCTGTTACATCATTGTAAACAATATATGCTATTGATTTGTTGCTGGATTTGTAAATTTACCATTAAAATTACCTGTTATTAAATAATAACACAAGTTTTAAAGCTACCGGGACCCTACAGTTTGGCTGGATATACAGGCTATGTAGTTTCCAAACTAACTGGGCAAAAATGAGTAAGACATTTTTTGGAATATACAGTACCATAACTCAAGCCAAGGAGTAATTAATTTATATAAAAAAGTAGCAATGAAACAAAAAAGCCTTAGTAGGTTCAAGTAACTTATTTTACAATTTAATTTGTCATGGTCCATGTAATTGAGGAGTGCAGAAACATTTCTGTCTCAAAATGTGTTCCTCAATAGAAGGTCGGACGGTATGATTGTATGGCAGAGAAGGTGGTTGTAAGGGATTTCCGGCAAGAAGAATCGCGATCGGGAATGCGCATGCGTATAGGAATTCACGCAGAATTGCTGGTTGTGTGCATGCGCAGGAATGCACGATCGCACACATGCACGGCGAAGATTGGCGCCAGACAGCCCATTTAAAGAGTGCCTCTGCTCAGGTTCAGTGCTGACTGGTCTTCAGCTCCCCCCTGTGTCCTCCTTGTTCCTGTACGATTCCTCCGTTACCAACCCGGCTTGTTCCTGACCCGACTTCGATTACTCTCCTGCTACCGGTTCCTGACTTCGGCTCTGCTCCTGACTTTGGCTTTTCCTTCTGATTCTGTACTGCGCTGCCCGACTGTTGATGACCCTGGCTATCCTATGACCCTGCTCCAGTCTCTTGTGCTTGCTACCTACCTTGCTCTGCTGCACGTCTGGCAATTTACAGAACCTGCTCTGTCTGTTATTACGGTGCCTAAATCAGAGGATCATCTGCCTTCCAAGGTCATCATCTGCAAGAGCTGCAAACATCAACCACTGGCGCTCTTGTCCCCCTGGTCCCTAGACTCCCTCTGTTCCAACCTCAGCGGGGCCAGGGCTAGTGACACAAGTGGGGCCGACCTCGTCAATTCAGTCTCCAATCAGGTATGTGACAGTGGTACAGTATAGTGACATTATTTGTTCCAGTGCTGTAACCACCAGAAACCAAGAACAGAACAGATCTGGTGTCCATACTCTACCAATATATGCTCAGAATTAACCTAGGATATTGACATCCTCTACTTAGGCAGTAATGGTGGATCTCCTAACATAGCACCATCTACCATCCATGTAGTGCCATCTTATCACAATGAAAGCTTAATTAAAGAGGGAAATCTGATCTAAATATATAGTATGGCTGTCACATGATAAGCCAGTGATAATGATTCCACATGTAGTCACTTGTAAGGGAATCCCTGTTATGTGGCTCTAATAATGTCACAGGCAGACAAAGATGCAACTTGTCATGCATTTTAAAGGGGAAAGTATAGAGTGTTTTCATGGATCATATATTTGTCATACTATTGCAGCAGAGGAAAATTTCACTGTTTTGATACATTAGCCTTTCTTTCTATAAGTACTGGGATAATGTACCAGCTACGCAGGAAGGGTTTCATTATATCTTAAAATGTGATCCAGAGACCTCACTTCACAAGTCCTAGATATGAACTGAAATAGCAGAGGAAACTTTTCTTGGTATAATAACCTCCCAACAACAACAGGAATCAAAATTTACTTGTACAAGTCAAAGAGACCAAGTCAAGACCTAACATTGGTAGTTAATATCTTCAGCATAAAAATATGCCCCAAGTTGGGCATTACCCTACTCAAAATCCAAATGTTTTAAGATTGGAGAAAATACGATCATTTGCTTATATTTTTAATGGTATATTGCCATATTTCTATACAGTAGCCCAGGTATGTCAGACCATGGTCATGTAATGACTTTGCATATCTTAGAATTTTTATCGATAGAAGGTTTGTTTCACCCCAGATAAACAGTACAGATGGTAGCTTGTCAGGTTTTTCCCAAATTATCAATGCCGCTGGCTATAGTCAGCAACACTGATCAGTGTGTTCTGATGGTCGGGAAGGCAACCTGCCATCAGAACATAATAGCTCAGCAGGAGTGTTTCCCCTGTGCACATCAAATGTATGGATGGGGGAATCAGTTACCATTTGGAAACTCGGGCACTGCCTGAGGGTCCAGGGTCAGTAGGGGGCCCCATGAGATGCCCCTGGTACCTTTTTCATAGGCTTTTTTGAGTTTGGGCAAGGACACAGGGGCCCCATGATCCCCTATTGCCCAGGGGCCCCATGAGTTGTCAGTCCGCCCCTGGTTATTAATGTATGGTGAACTTTAGTTTGTTGTTAACAGTTGCTTTTGTTATGTTTCAAATTCCTTTAACCGACCAAACTGTACAGCAAAGGTGGCAGTTACAGAACTGAGAAACTAATTACCACTGACAGGTGTGCTTACAATGGTCAGCTTGTATTCATTCATGCAAAACCTTTTCCCAAAAGGGAAAAATACTGTTTCTGTAACTGCTTAAAAGTGTTATCTGAAGTAAGGCTTCAAAATGGTATTGTAAAGTAAATGTAAATCTACTAGCCCATCAAGCACTACACTCCAGACGTGCAGTTGTCCAAGGGTGTCTCCTTTTGCTCCTCCATAAATAGTGGAAATGTGTCCTGACCACCTTGCCAGATCATCAAGGGAAAATAAAGGAGTAAAAAACTAAAAGCAGAAAACTAATGCAGCTACAATATCTAAGGACTAGTAAGCTGCAATATTATTACATGTGCTAAATATTTACTTTTTATTTATACATATAATTGCTTTATATTAACTCAATAATTTCATTTTGTTTATGGGTTTACTTACATTTTAATAACATAGAACAGCAATCATTTCTGTATTTTATATTTGCTTGGGGTTCAGCTTTAACTGGGCTGATGGATCCAAAGTTACTCTTTAGATTTCTAAACAACTCAGACTTTTGGAATAGCCGGCTCTACTCAATGTTTAAGTAACTACTTTGCTATAACTGGGTGTTCTCCTTCCAGTTCCATAGAACCAAACAGCAGAAATTTATTACTTAACTCCATGTATTGTAACTCAGTCAGTTCCCCAAGGATTGCGTTTTCCCCAAACATTTTATATTGATGTACTGGCCTTGAGAGTTTCAGAAAGCAGTGAAAATCTTGTAAAATATAAATAAAGTTCTTCCAAACATGGTTCAGAGGACAATAATAATTTCCTGTTCTGAAACTAGTAACAAAATATTTTGTCACCGGATTTCATTTATTGGAGGATATTTCTGTGGAGAGCAAAGGCTCATTTTATTTCCCAGATGATTCGTTGATTTCGATGAAGCATGTTTCATACAGCTGACAGTTGAAATAAAAATCTGTCCAAATGTGCAGTACACTACAACTAGCACATGGAAAAGTAGTCTGGCTTTCCTGTATCTTGTCCCCAGAGATTGAAGTTCAAAATGCACCATTTCCTGCTTGTGTCAATTCAATATCACAAGGTATCATCGCAGTTTTGAAAATTGCTTTTCATTCTTTTCCACCTTAAATGATTATTTGTCCTTATTTGTACGCACTGGTTTCCTTTTTAATGTCTCACATTTTACTGCATGTGTCTTGCCATTTCTGGTGATATTCAGTACTTGTGCATAACTGCTGTTATAATCTCTTTATTGTACCCTCTCCCGTGTTACAGTTAGTAATCCTTATATAGCAGCTGTGAAAACTCAAACTGGAAATCACATTTTACACAGTCTGATTGAAAACAATTCAGTAAGTAGAAGAAAAGTGTAGAGCAACTATGAGCAGGCGAGACCATAACCTGTGAAGGAAACAAAACAGAAAGGAGGGCTCCACTCTTTGTGTGCTCTACCATCTCCCACAGTGCCTAGTTGGACCTTGAGGAGAACTTTGACGCCCCCACTGCTTGATGAAAACCTGGTAACTGCTGATCACGGTGAGACAGAGGATGATGTAGAGTACGACCTGACCAGAACCTTGATGCCTGAGATGTTTTGAAGATTATATCTCTCTACATGCGTATTTTATACGCACTTCTGGTGAGTGCGCAATCTATTTGTTTCTAGGATTTTTCACCTCCCTCACAGCAATTGATTTGGGAACGTGGACTATTGTGTGCTTCATCATCACCAATTGAATAGCGCACTGCGTACTATTGTATTCCATTTTCGTTTTCTCTCCTGCCTTTGTATATAACCTTAGGACATTTCTACTGAGGAACTTTACCCATACCACTTTGATGACAATTAATGTTTGTTAACAAAAAAATATATTCCACCAAACTTTGTGTGCTCTAAATTGCCTCCAGCGGTGCTCCTGTTTCTTCTTGCTTGAGGCTGCCATTTTGTTGAAGTCTCCCCACTCCTTGGTCTCAAAACCTATATTTCACTTTTAATTACCACTTGCCAATTGGGCACTTATACCCCCCTCCTGCCCAGGCCAATTTAAAGCTTTCAGAGCTGTCACATTTTGAATGACAATTGCGCGGTCAGGCAACACTGTACCCGTATAAAATAATTTTTAGAGCTTTCTTTTGGTGGTATGTACTCACCACTCTGTGTTTTATTTTTTGTTCTAAAAAAAAAAAAAAAGAGCAAAAAATTTGAAAAAAAAAGTTTTTCTTTGTTTCTATTATAAAGTTTTGCCTTCACTGATGTGTGTTGATGAGGCTGCACGGATAGGCAGCACTGATGGGCACTGATAGGTGGCACTGATGAGGTGGCATGAATAGGCAGCACTGATAGACGCACTGATGATGCTGCACTGCTATGCAACAATGTTGGGCAGTGATAGTCAGTAGTGATGGGCAGCACTGACGGCCACTAATGGCACTGACTGGGCGCACTGCTGGGCAACACTGATGGGGGCATTGCTAGGTACTGGTGGGTGGCACTGCTGGGCACAGGTGGGTGGCACTACTAGACACTGATGGGCACAGGTGGGCGGCACTGCTGGGCACTTGTGGGAGGCACTGCTGGGTGGCACTTCTGGGCACTGATCATCAGTGCCCTGATGATCAGTGCCGATCTGTTCTCTGACAATTGCCAGTTATCGGCAGTACATTCCTTGCGCTGTGACAGCGTGAGGAAAGTACAGCTGATAACCGGCAACTGCATTTACCGGTGATCTGCTGTGTCATTGGACACAGCAGATCACGTGGTAAAATGGTAAAAAGCCGCTGTGGATGGCCTTTTACCACATCACATGATCAGCTGTGTCCGTAGGACACAGCGATCATGGAGATCGCTGGGTGCATGCCCCCGGGGACGCAGGAGAGCACGTTCTGGGACGACGTCATATGACGCCCTCCCAGGACAGCACAACCGCACTGTAGCCGTCATTCAGCTATATCACGGTTGGCAAGTAGTTAAAATAAGTGCATTTCCAGCCTTTATTGTATGCCTTGGCTTAGCTAGAGAGGAAGGCAGACAGAATCTTTACAGTGTTGACATTCACAGGCTGCTGATGAGGGAGAAAGAACATAGAACCAGGTAGATAAATTAGATAAGACACTATCCTTTTAAGTTAATGGCTTCTTTCACATTAGCAGTCCAATCGGGTCTGACTGTCAATGGGGATCAGGTGGACCAGATCAGACCCTCCATTCTCCTCTATAAAGCAGAGGGTGTAAACTGACATGTATCTGATACACCTGCCTACATCCAATCTGATCTGACCTGATAAAAACAGACAGCTGGAGATCCATTCCCCTTTCCTCTAGCTGATTGGATGGCAGTGAGGTGTAAATGGATAGGTGGTCCATTTATATCTGACCGCCCATAGAGGACAGTGGGCTGTGTCTGTGTCCACTCTACACAAGTGGAGTGGAAACAGACCAGCCATCCGCCTGCTCAGTGGGGATCAGCGGACAGATCACAGGCCGAGCAAGTGGAGTCCGCCCCATGATAAAGGGGCCTAACTCTTTTGTGTCTCTCTGACAGCAGAGATTGTCCTGTCAGCTCTTCTGCTTTTCTTTTCTCCCTCCCTAATCTTCATCCTTTCCACACAGTCTAAACTCTTCTTTTTTTTTTTATAGCGCAAATAATAAAAAAACGCACAGGCAATCAAATACCACCGAAAGAAAGTTCTATTTGTGTGAAAAAAAGGACATAAATTTAATTTATGTACCGTATTGCATGACCGCACAATTGTCTGTTAAACTAGCGCAGCGCTGTATAGCAAAAAAATGGTGTAAATTTCAGTATCTATACCATAGTTTGTAGACGCTATAACTTTCACACAAAGCAATCAATATACACTTATTGGGATTTTTTTTGCCAAAAAACATGTAGCAGAATACATATTGGCCTAAATTTATAACTAACTTTGAGTTTACTATATATTTTTTATAGCTGAAAGTAAAAAATATCATTTTTCTTCAAAATTTTTGGTCTTTTTTTGTTTATAGCGTGAAAAATAAAAAGCGCACAGGTGATCAAATGCCACCGAAAAGAAACTCTATTTGTGTGAAAAAAAGGACGTAAATTTCGTTTGGGTGCAGTATTGCATGACCGCACAATTATCAGTTGAATTAGTGCAGCGCCGAGTAGCAGAAAGAGGCCTGGTCATTAAGGGGGGTAAATCCTCAGGAGGGCAAGTGGTTAAGCGAGCAGCTAAATGCAGAATCATTGTCACAAAATTCCACCAGCGAATTCATTGAAAACCTAGAGGATTATCCTGCAGAATCCTTACCCCTTACTGCGGCCGTGATGAAAGATATGTTACTTACCCTTAGAGGCTCCCTGCACAAAGATATGATGGGATTTGTGGCACAAGTCAATAAGGATGTTGAGTCCTTGGGGGAGCGAGTCTCACATGTGGAAACTAAAATGGGCGAATTCGCTAAAGCTCATAATGAATTAGTTGACGTACATAATGAGGCAGAAGAGGTTGTGAGAGCTTTGAAGGTGAAATTAGCGGATCTGGAGGACCGCTCCCGCAGGAACAATGTGAAATTCAGGGGCATTGGCGAAAATATACTTGCTGCGGAACTTCGCAAATATATCCAACAAATGATCTCTGCATTACTACCACACACTCCGAACAGGGAAGTAGTGGTAGATAGAGCCCATAGACTGCCTAAGCCCTCATTTCTCCCTGATCATATTCCCAGAGATGCAATAGCAAGAATCCACTCTTATCACGTCAAAGAGGAATTAATGCTGTTTGCGCGGAAAATTACTCCACTTCCTGCACCCTATACTGGGATCTCATTATTCATCGATCTTTCACAATATACCATAATAGCCCACAAAAAATTGCTCTCCTTCACGAAATTGCTACGCAACAATTACATCAAATATCAGTGGGGTTTCCCTACCAAATT